CAAAACAAAACAAAAAAAACCAAACAAACGCCAACAAACCCCAAATCACCCCCGAACATCATCCACGGGCGACCGAAACCACCACCTCCCCGCTAACGAACCCGAGCATCATCCCCGCCGCCCATGAACGAAACACCCAAAGCTTTTTTGCATACTCAACGTTTATTAAAAATAGTATGAAATGGTCCCTGGGAAAAGTTACACGCTAGCAGAAAGTCCCTTTTTCTGTTCGTTGTCTCCGCCCCTCCCCAAATCCACGGATTGCATGAGATGCGAGTTAAACACTCCCCTCGCCGTTTAAACAAAGCTAGACGTGGTGCACGGGTAAAGCACAGACTAACATCTATTCATATTTACAATACTTTACAAGCTATATTAAATAAATATGGGCTCTGCTACACTTCGGCGTCTTAAATATGTACAACATTATTTCTCAGTCGGATTTTACTAGATAGTGTGGGTCTCATCACAGTGGATGTGCTGACTGTAACAAGTATCCCTGTGGTACTAGCTAGTAAGCACACTGCGACCAACCAGCTCTCAAAATAACAAATCCTAGCCAATGCAAGATACGTGCGGTAAATAATTTAGTCCATTCTAACAAATTCAAGTCCTTAAGTCTTAGTCTACAAGTAATTAGCTGTACACCGAAAACTTCAGGTTTTCCTCATGGTAACCAATGTAGTAAACAGTCGTCTGTTTTGGAAGTACAGTGCTCTGTAGCTGAGGGGAGGGATACATGGTTAGTAAAAACAGTATTGCAATGAGATTCCTTTATTTGTTGATATGTTTAACTTGGTACTGGCTTTATTCACGTAATCCGATGAATTGAAGCACCAAAAAAAGAACCACAGTCACACAAGATGATCAGTGTAGGCGTATTTAGGCTTTCCTTCAGGTACAATGTTTTCAAGTAACAGAATCCAAAGCTGTTCAACAAAGATGATGAAGGCGAGTAAGTGTGCATCATATTGGAAAGCCTGTTCTTGCTCTAAATTATGGCATTTATTCTATACACTATTTGCCAAAGAATGGAATGTATTCTCATTTTTTAACCTACTTTTATTGTACATAAATTGGATTAGAATCAGCTGGGGGTGGTTTAGAAAATTTTACCTCTCTCTGCCAGGAAGGGTCATCTCTTACTACGGGAGATGGACATACTCCCTGGGCAAGGCAGCTTGTCACTCAATCCAATGATTGCTGAACCACCCTATGGGCCAAACATGTGCCATGATTAGCATTTCACCCAAGGAATCTGGCCCAAGCCTCAATTTCTCTTGGGGTTACTGACATTGGGACTCAAACAAATGCCCTGCAGGCCACTGTGTATAAAATACAGCTACTTTGCAAACTCAGGCGCAGCGGCTGGGCTCCATGCTACAGGATGCTCAAATTTTGCCTGTGTGTCACAAAGACCCACGTCACCGGAGGTACCAGACCACATCTAAACGTCTTCACAAACAGTGGAGCTCCCTTTCCACTGCCCAAAAACATTCTCCAGGCAAGAACTGTGTCACATCCACAGGTTCACATAAAAAAGCCACCACTGCCCATCCTCTGCCTACTACGCAGTTACAGAAAGCAGAAAAGGCTTCAGACACAGAGCTGTCAGTCTGCCATCCCTCACAAGTTACAAGGAAAAGATTTTGTTTAAAACATCAGAAGCCTCTTCTGAAGTAATGTAGCGTATGTATTGGTCCCACACACTTGGAATCTGTTTGACAAAAAGAAATGTGCAAAAAGTATGTGCAACTGCACATATAGCATGTTGGTGTAATTACCAGAAGTCTGCTCAGAAACCTGCACAGCCACAGGAGTAGCTGCTCAGCTAAATGCTCCGCTGTGTAACCAGAGAGTAATCACATGGGTATTTTCAACACAGAACATGGTTACCAGCTCCAAATTCCAAACACTAAGGTTTCCAGATGATAAAATAGTTTAAGAATTGAACGGCATCACACCTAGTTTGATGGTAAGAATCAAAGGGTATCACACCTAACAGATGCCAAAAGGAGATGAGAAGTCTGCCTTAAACAGGAGATGAGAAGACTGCCTGCACTATGGAGCGAGACACCAGACAGTGTGCGCATGGCCTTGTTCACTTCCGGGATTCTATATCATTTAAAAAAAAAAAAAGATACATTTCATATCTATTTACAGCATTACTGTGATGCAATGCCTGGTTGTGGAATATTATGGAAATACATGATGCCAGTACTGATTGTTTTAGTATATGCTCTGTCATGATAAGGCAGCTAGAAATTACTGAAAGCATCAAGCAAAGCTACTTGAACTGAGACACTGAAATTTTTCCCTTAAAGACTGGACAATATTCTGCTGATTAGGAGACGGTACTCTCCACAGGTAGTCGTTCAGTTTATCTGAATCACTATATGCAGTCAGATACGGGGTAAGCGCATGTTTGCTGCTGGTGGACTTTGCAGGGGTACAAGAGACGGTTTTGCCACAGAGCGTTTCAGAAGGAGCAGCATCTGCGTTACACAGTTTAGGATCCGATTTCCTTGTCTGGTTCTGAGAAGTCTCCAAGTCAGATCCTTCATCTTCAGACTTTATTTCAACATAGTCGTCATCATCCCCTTCTCCTCCTTCAGTATCTTTGAAATTTGAAAAGTAGTTCTGAGTGGCCATCTGTGCCGTCAGAGGAGAGGCCCTGTTCACTCTCAGGACCTTTTGAGAATCCTGCAGAATCATATCTGAGCAGTTTTCAGGGATCTGCTTTCTCAAATCAGGCCCCGTACATCCTGAAGCAGCACCTGGCATTTGATGGCTGTTGAATCGTAAGTTCCTATTCGAATGGAGCTTTTTCTTGTCCATTTCATTAGGATATACGATAGATTCTCCAGATCTGTTAACCACAATTGAGGAAGATGACTGCGACCTGCTGTATGCCTGCGGTTTTAGATTGCTTACTCTTCTCCCAAGGGAGTTATAGATGTGATCTTGATGTAAATTTTCTTTGTTTGGCTGGCTTATAATGGCACTCCACCTCTGCGCCGGGACATGCAAGCGGTTAGAAATCTGAAGGGAAGGCACCGAACCAGCCAATGGCAACTGCCTTGGATTGCCTTTTGCACCAGGTTCTGTACACAAGCTCTTGGACTTTGGGTCTTGAGATTCAGGCCACGAAGAGAAGTCGGCCAGCTCGCCGTTACTGTACGTAGAATGCAAAAGCCAATCTTCTGCTCTCGAGCGTTCACTGACAGCCTGGGACCGGGGAGGAGACGTAGCCAGAGGTGTGGAAAACCTCACGGCTGGTGGCTCCAGAGGAGCAGCCCAGGCTTCCTTTTGGACCTTGGGTGTACTTTCTCTAAAGACGATTTGGTCATAAAGCTGAGAATATTCAGCTATTCTGGCACCTAGAAAGGAGAAAGAATTAACTTAGCAGAGGCAAGCAATTAATTTGAATGAGTCATAGAAAACGAAAAATCTCAAAAAGCTTTGTACTGGTCAAAAGCAAATTCTACAGCTGTGTCAGTATCTTCGGCCTCAACAAAATAACATGAAACAATGGAGTCTGGAAGAGCCATGCATTGCATTTCAGTACATTGTGTTGAGAAAATGAAGCATAAAATATCAGGCGACAGTGAACAGTCATGCAGGACACAATACAGCACATGGTTCTAATAATACACGGCTTGTTTCATGTTAAAATGGAAAAGAACATTCTGTAAATGGCCTGATAAATAAGGTATTCAGGGACTTTTATAAACCTCATAAGAAGGCAAGAATGACACTCCAGGGCGTGGAGTCCACTGGCTCCATGTCTCTAATTTGTTTCAGTTGACAATGCACAAAAATAGTTCCAAAGCAGTTGCATATCCACAACTTTGCAGATTTATTAGACAGAGTAAGAGCATCAGCTCACTCTTAATGTCACCTCATTCCTTATGCTTATAGGCATGATGAGGATGGTACCTGAGCAAATGTTTACAGCTTGTTAGGAGGGGAGCTTATCTAAAAGCACACCTTTATAGTCAGACTCTGAAGATCACATTCTTAAAGGAAAAATCTACTTTTCTGTAAAGAGGTCAATAGCATTTCAGGCATGAATTCTATTTCTAACCTCAGCTGAATTATCTTTCCCAACTCTACCCTGCTATTTGTTCCCAATTTTATCAAGTTACAACAAGAAATGAGATATACAGGACTATTCATGTTAGAAGCAGTCACAGAAAACTCATTTCAGTGGTAACAAAGAAAACAGAATATTGATACTCAGCTAACAAGGTGAGGAAAATTTATAATCTTCCAGTTCGGCACACTAATTTCACTGAAAGTTACTAAATAAACATATCTGTATAGAAATATTTTAACATACCAATAGCAGGACCTCCTTGTTTCTTCTCCTCCAGAATAGCAGCAAGATCTTTGTGTTTCAGTTTCTGTTGTCTGCTAGCTGGCTGTTCCTGTTCTGGACTTCTAACTTTCAAAAGCTGGTTAGCCTTCTTAATTTTTTGACTGTACTGCCTTGCCATCATAAAAACTCTGTTCTTTGTTTTATCCACAACAGCAAAGTCATTGTCCATGCCCTCTACGTGCGCGTTGGACAGAACGCTATTGGCAGATTCGTATGGGCTGTCTACAAAAGGCATCTCACAGGAGAAGGAAGATCTGTTCAGACTCATAAAAGAGTTCTCCTTGCACGGTGTGGTGTCTTCAAGCCTGAGATTAGCCTCACTGATGGTGGCAGCCCGGGGCTTCATAGTTTTAGAAAAAATAGGAGTTTCTGGCAGAGAGAGAGTAGACAGTGAGTACTCCACGTCTTTACTCAGCTCAGGTGTGCTACCAGCATGCAGCCGCTCCTGCATATCATCTTTACAAACCGGAAAGGCTGCAAGGAGACGGTCTCTTGTCTTTTCCTCATTCTTCTTGATGTAGTTCTCCAAGTCATTCCAAATCTCATCTACCTCCTCCGAGAGTTTATCTGGTGCAGATTTATGGGACAGTGAATCCGAGTTGGAGGAGCTATCTACCAAGCTCAGATAGTCGTTGTCAACAGGAACACGGTGGTAAGTACTTTCATCTTCACTGAACTGGAGACTCTCTTCAGAAACAAACTGCCGCAGATTGTCACAACATGCAAAGTCTTTTTCCAGGCCCAGAAAACTCCTCCTTTTAGAGCATTTTAAGCGGTCACATTTAAAATTCAATAGTGGTGTTTCTGGAAGCACTATGGTGTCATACACATTGTCTTCAACAATCCTGAGCTCATCCAAACTTGAACTAGGTGCTTCTTTACTGAGTAGTATGTCATCCCTACTAGCACGAATGGAGGCCCTGTTTTGATTTGCTGTCCTCTTTTTGGAGGGTGAATTTAAGCTGCTTTTGCTTTCACCCTCGTAGAGGGAGTCTCTAGCAGATCTCTGGGGACCACGGTCTGTCTCCTCCCTTCTTGTCAGACCCATAAGCTTTAAGTCTTCATAGCTTATGTTATCATAAACATGTTCAACGTCATCAATGGTCAGCTCCTCTGAAGATTCGGGATACGCATTCATACTGCTCACCTCTGCTCTCTTCACTTCCCTTCGAGAACCATGCTCTCCTATTTTATACCTTGTACTGGCTGGACATGTGTTACTTTCACCAGCACTACTGGCCCGCCTAACAATTTTGTGACGAGTGGGGCTGGAAGTCTCATTTTGATGCACTACCCCTAAGTGCCAGCTGCATGGACGCCCAGGAGAACTTCTCCTTTCTCCCCCCACAGCTGAACTCACATTGGATGTACACATTGATGGTACAAACATCTGATAATCGTCTTCATCGTCTTCATTCTCGTAAGGTGGGCGCCGGCTGGGAAACAATGCCTGCCTGATCTGATGGTCAGTCCAGATGTTTCTGACAGAGGTACTTCCCCCTAGGATATTCATGATGAGCGAGTTGCTCTGGGATGTGCTCAACTGTCTAGGTGACTGTGGCTGTCTAGCTGCGCAGGAAAATGGAAGATCAGTGTTCAACTGAGTTGACTCTTCATCTGAAGGATCCTTGGAGCTCTGTGAAGATTTGAAATATGCAGGTAACATTAGCCTATCCCCTGCAATAACACAGAGATTCCCTCCATTCACAGAACTGCCACAGCACCGGCGTGTCCCACTGCATGGAGCCAGGTGGAGATATCTGGACAGGGTGAGCAGGCTCCTTGCTAGAGAGCGAGGGAGCCAAGGTGGCAATGCCAGACTACTTTGCCTCCTAACCCTTACCATAGCTCAGAGTTCACCCCTGGCATTTAATAACATCTTATTTCAAATACAAGACACTGGCTCACACTAATGCATGAGTAATTAAAGGTGAATTTGTTTGGCAGGAGTTAGATTAAACCTTTTCACTAACTCTGCAGTTTCACAGCTGGATTAAGCTAATCTGACTGTGAGCTCGTGCCAAAAGTTTTGTTGTCCTCCCATTCCCCTTGCCTATAACTCCAGCAGAAAGGTATGTTATGCTCTCTAGCACATGCCACTCAAAATTTCATTTTCTTTTTGGCGTGAGTCTTCATCCAGCTCAGCTAGCAGATCTATTTCACAGCAACACCACATGCCTCTTAATGCTAATATGAAGGATGCTGTAGATATTCCTGATCAGAGGTTGAGAAAGAGACAGAAAGATAATTTCTTTTGTCCTAGGTTAAGCTGATGTAATTTTTTAACCTGCCCCCAAAAGAAAAGTATTTTCTCATGCAGATCAATATTTCAATTATATGAGTATTGAAACATGACAGAAACAGAAGATGACTTATCTGCCTACCCAGGAAAAAAACCCCGCAGATTTGACATATGTATGATACATAGCAAAAGACAAATAAAAAAAATAAAACACATGAATACCTGTGTTTCACACTTGTTGAGATTAACACTTCTCCGTTTTTCAACATTTTCAGCAGCTTGACTGTTAAGTCTTTTTCTCCCCCCTTTTGACTTCTGCAGTGAGTTTTGCTGCACTCCCTGTGATGTAAAAGAGAAAGGAAGGAGTAATTAAATCTACAGTTCTTTGTACAGTCTTGTTTAGAAGAATTACTAGCAGCTAGAACAAGCCAGGTATCCACACCTGGAGGATGAAATGCTCATGAACTATCAACACTGCCACAAGAAGGATTAAGAGCGTACAAAAACTTTCCTCACGATAACCAATTAAATTATACCAATCTATACAATTTATCAAAAGGGGCTGAAAGCAGAATCTGGGTATAAAAATATAGACAGAAAAGAATACATAGAAATTGAACAAGGAAAAGGGCTTAATCTCACAGTCAAAGTTGTAACAGAGGAATGTGGTCACACAAAAATACGATTTTAAAAGGGGCTGGGTTGTTTTTTGTTTTAAAAAGGAGAGAGGATAGTTTTCACAATCACTCATAGCCCTGAAATCCAGAAAGAGGTCTACACTGAAAAGTATCTTGTCATCCAACTTCCCAGAAGAAGAAACCAACAAAGGCCACAATGTTGCATGTTGGGCAGTGTCCAAATTAACTGAGATTGAAGGGCACACATGGTGGGAATGGGAGGAATCTGAGAAGGTATTGTTGCCACACCTAGGATTAAACACTAAACATTTTTATAGTGGTATTCCTTTGCACTTACTCATTCTTTTGTACTTAGCCATGTCAGGAAGAGGGTGAATTACAAGACACCGCACTACACTGATACGAGATACTACTCTGTCAAAGATTAAAATGCAAACTGTGGAATTTCAAAGAAAACTTTCAAACTTCAAAAAGAATTTCAGTAACAGGTTTTCACAACATAAATGGACCACACAAGGATATGACCTTATCATCAACTAAACCAAACAATCTAAAAATCTAGACTCTTTAATACAGCCAACATTTCAAAGCTGGGTTTTTCATCTTTCAAAAGTACTAGATATGGGGGCCAGTTAGCTCAGTCAGTTAGAGCGTGGTGCTGATAACACCAAGGTCACGGGTTTGATCCCTATTTGGTCCCCATGTGTTTCCTGATCTAGTTGAGAGGCGTCCCTGCCCATGGCAGGGAGGTTGGATTAAATGATCTCTAAGGTCCCTTCCAGCCTAGGCCATCCTATGGTTCTATGATATGTGTGGAAGCATGACGCAGAGTGGTAAAAAGTACCATCTGTGCAGTAGTAACAGATAAGGATTTTAATTTTCCGAAATTTTACTCACACTTTCTCATATTAAAGTTCACATGTTCCTAGCTACTGCCAGCAACTCACAGGTCAAGAAACATCATATCACATGTGGCAGTGTCTAAATCTTAACTTAATATTCAAGTCCTTGCTTTGAAGACCAGAAGGCACTGTCTCTGCAGGTGGCCTACAAAGGTTTCTTTCACAGCATCAGCTGGAAAAGCAAGGAAAGGCCACTGGTGCAAAACAGGTAGAAGCAATTGCTTTCTGTCACAACTAGGCTTGAGGACTGCAAAGGACTAAGTAAAATCTCTTTCAAGCAGTGGGGATTTCTTCCTCTGTTTGGGGACTAAGTTCATCTCTCTTCTGTTAAAATGCAAGAGAACACTGTGTGAGGTCTAAATAAAATATTTTTAAGGAGAGAAAGTTGTAAACACTTATATTTCTGCATCCTTGCTGTTGCACAGGTAAATTTTAAACCTCCTTTTCCCTTGTTTTTCCTACCTGTTCAGACTCTTCTTCATCATCAGCATCAATCTGTTCTGTAGCAGAAGTCTGCAGATTTTCCTCCTGATCGCTGCTGTAGGTTGGCTCAATGGACTCTGAAAATTGGCCCTCTAGCCCACTGGGTTCCAATGGAATCTTTTTTCTAGAATTCAGCAGGGCTTCATTTGATCCTAGTTTGGTGGCTTGAGGTAACAGAGCTCCTTCAATACTGATACGCTTAGAAAAAACACCACAACATTTTTATTAGAAGAGATTATATATTTTAGTAAGACACTGTTTTACATCAGGCTTACAGTCCAAGCTACATTCAATTACCTGCCCTGAAATTTATAATGTAAGAAATAAGTAAAACAATCAGTATTTTTCTGATGAATATTTAAAACTGGAAAAACATATGCAAACCCCCCCACCACAGTCATGGGCTTCAGTGTTATGTCAACCCAGTGAAGTCATATCTAATGTATCTTCTTAGTACCCCTTCCACAAACCTCAACTTTAAATTCCATCCCAAATAAAACCCTAGGACCTGAAATTCAACACAAGACTTTCAAATGACACAGGGCACTTCATCACAAATTCTTACAGAAAACATAAGTATTGGAATTTTTTGTTTCCATCTACTTAAGCTCTATCTGCTCTGTTTGGTATGAG